AGAACGGCTACATGTACCTCGCCATGACCGCCGGAGCCGGGAAATGCGGCATCAACCAGTGAGCCCCGCAGCGCAGCCTCGCTTCCGTCTGTTACGCGCTGTTGCCAAGCTGCCTTGTACCTGTCGCCACGCTGTCGCCTAACTGCTTTGGCCTTGCCCAATCGTTCGCCCGTTTCGCACCATTCTTCTCATCACCGTCCCTTTCCTCCCCTTCCCACCCTTGGCCTCCACCACTTTGTTCCCCCCCCTCCCATCCCCCCATTCTCCCAGAATCCCCGCAATCTACCCGGTCTTCTTCCCCAGAGCCCCCCAAAACGCCATGTACCCGATCGGGCCGCTCAAGGACAACCCTAACTTCGGCCCCGTGCGCGCCTCGCTCCGCAACAGCACGTGGACCCCGGACCCGTCCGCGAACCCGTGCCAGTCGCGCATCAACCCGTGTGGCGGCGGTGCGTGCTACGTGCTGGGCGGGCTCGCGCGCTGCTCGTGTCCGCGCAATTTCGTGGAGCGCATCGGCGTACCGACGAGCAAGTGCGTGACGCGCGAGCCGTGCAGGAAAAGCGTGGTGAACCCGTGTGGCGCGGGCACGTGCAACAGCTTGAAGGCCGCCGGGCTGTACACGTGCTCGTGTAATCAGGTGCGCTGCCTGTGGGGAGGATCCGGGGGTCTTGTGGGGGGGGAACATGCGATTTGGGGCTGTGAGTATTGGGAAATTGGCATGAATATGTGCTCCTCTTTTTTTTTCTTTCTTCTCTTTCTTTCTCTCTTTCTTTTTTCCCACTTTCTCTTGCTAGCACACAAACTTACCCCCATTCTCCTCCGTCTCTCTCACTCGCAGGGCTATGTCATCGGGTCAAGGGTGGACGGCTCTCCCACATGCGTCCCCGTCGCACCAGCAGGCGGCTCACTCACATACACGTCGCTCCCGGGCGACACATGCCAGTCCGTGTCCACGTCTCTCTCCATCCCAGCCAACACCCTCCAGCGCCTCAACCCCTTCCTCGACTGCTCCGCAGAGCTCCCGGCGGCCATGGTTCTCGCCGTCTCAAACCCCACGCAGACCACCACCAGCGGGTGCACAACGACTACCTATGTCTCCCCGAACGACACGTGTGACAGCCTCGCCACGCGGCACTTTCAGGGCAATCAGGAGAAGCTGAAGAAGGCGAATCCCGGGCTCAAGTGCGAGAGCCTGTATGTGCAGCAGCAGGTGTGCGCAGAGGCGCTGGGGACGCTCGGACAGGACGTGTCTCCACTGGTGTGCGGGCTCACGTACACAGTCACTGCGGGGGACACGTGCGATACTATCTCCAGCACTTATGGGCTCAACGGCACCACGTTCTACATGTGAGTGCCCATCCCACGGCGCCTCGTCTGTCTGGGGCCCCGCGCACCAGTGCATGCACTAGCAATCCTGTGTGATCCTGTCAGCTAGCTGTTTTTACTCGCCGGCAGTGATTCCGTGTGTGGCCGCCGCTCCACAATTTGCTGTTCAGCAGTGGATATGAGTCTTCATGGCCGTTGTGCTGTCCTCTTTCTGTCCGTCTCTCCTGCTGATCTTATCCTCGTTACAGGCTCAACCCTGGGCTGGACTGCACGGTGGGACAGCTTCCTGTGGGGCTGGCAGTGTGTGTGGGCGAGCAGACATCGCGGGACGCAGTGACGTGCACCAAGTGGTATCTGGTGCAGCAGGGCGACAACTGTCCCAACATCTGGAACGCCGCCAACCTCACCATCTCCTCCTTCATGGCCATCAACCCCGGCCTCAGAGTACGCCTCTCCTCCCTCCCTCTCATTGCTCCCCTCTCATTGCCCCACTCCTTTTTTGGGTCGACTAGATAAATTTTCATGGCTATATGCCCCGCTCTTGGGAGTACGCCTCTCCTCGCTTTTCTCCTAGACTTTCGCTTCTCTTCTCTTCTCCTGCCCTCCTCTTTGCTCTCCTGTTTTTGCCTCTCCTGTCCTCTCCTGTCCTCGCTTCTCCTTGCCACCCCCTCGAGTGCTCTTTACAAATTGTCTCTGTATGATCATTTCCCTTCTCCTCCCTGGTAAGGCACCCCACGTTCCTCTCTTTCGCCCCTTGCATCATCTCTCACCCCCTGCACCTTCTCACCCTTTTTCTCTTCCTGTCCCTCCCTTTCGCCCACCACTCCAGTGCCAGGCACCATACCTGCAAGTGGGGCAGCTGGTATGCATCGCCTCTCCAACCGCAGTCATGGTGGACAGCCTAACAGCCAACACGAGCCTCATCCCCTACAAGGTGCAGCCCAACGACACGCTCACATCCATCGCCATGGCTTTCTTTGACCGCTGCGGAGTGACTGCGGGCGAGGCCAACATCTGCCACAGCAACAACTTCTTCCCGTGTGACTCGAGCGCGCTCGCGGCGGACCAGATGATTCTCGTGCCGTGTTCTCGTAGGATTGGGAATAACGATTGCGGGTGCGGCAACCAGCAGAACTTCGTGTGCGGGTCGGACTTCGCCACTTACCCATCGATGTGTGATGCGGTGTGTAACTTTGCCACGCCCGCCACGCCTGGCGCGTGCAACGGGTGCCAGAGCGCATGTTTCCTGCGCAGCGGGCTTATGGCGGATACTCGGTTCCAGAGCAGGTGCAGGGTGGACCTAGACACGCTGTATTGCCCGTTCCCCTCGTGGCCTCCGCAGCAATGGTGGACCATGGCTGATACTCCGTGCGAGTATATGGAGACATCGTGCAACTATGTCTGCACGGACACTGCTAATACACTTGTGAAGAGCAAGGTTAGTGGCAAGTGGGCGACCTTCAAGAACCAGTGCATGTCCCAGTGCATGTGCACGCCTCGTGTCCCGTGTGGATGGAAGAGGTGTGCAACAGGATGAATGCACTATGAGGGGAGTTTTTATATTACAATGTAGTTCTTGATTCTTTTGACAATTTTCATTGCACTGTCAGTGCTTGTACTTTATGTATATTAAACTAGGAACATAATATTGGCATCTGTTCAATGCTAGGGAGCGAGGTGCACGTTTCAACACTCATCAGCACACTGGATTCACCATGCCTTGCAAGTAAACCAGGTCAACAAATCGCCTGATATGGGGGATGCAACTTGTACCCGCGGTTACATTACTGTAAATGTTCATAGTTCTTACTTATTGAAAGCGATAATAGGGGGGGTTTTCTCAAGTTTTGGCTGGCCAGAATGTCTTGCAGGTCAGCTAAGTTGTCCATGTGGCTTGTCACAACAGGTCGGTGGACTATATCCGTCAGGGTTTAAGATGTGGAAATGGCCAGTGATTTAATGCCACGTAGGTCGTTCAATTAACGTGGAGTGTGAAAGGTCGACACGTCACAAGGTGTCGTTTACGTAGATGCCTTCCCAACGATTCAAGGATCTCCACGTAATACGCTGGGGCACGTGCCCTTCTTGAACTTTTGATTGGCACGGAAGTAGTCTGACAATTGGTTGTTGGGTTTGGGCTTACTTTGCGAACCGCGGGCAAATGGAACTTCTGCCCGGTCTTAGGGATCTGACTCGACATCGAGCACTTTTGGTCTGTCAAACATGTTGATTACTGGTGCTTGAAAAAAAAGGTTAGACATTCACTGACATCCCAATCTGACCTGGGCAGAGCTCCTCCAATTGAGAATTTCCTCACGAAACCCTCACTGTGACCAGCCCACCCTATCCACGCTGGCATTTCCCTCAACCAATCAAGGATGAAGAAACACTCACTGCCCTAGATCTCATCAAGCGCAGCGACTCAGCCTTGCCCCCTTCACCAATCTCGCCTCGCGCTTCTATCCATTCACCGTCCCGCCCTTCAGCACGTCGAGAAGGCGCCAGCGCGACGGTGAAGGAGCCAAGACCTAGGGCGCAGAGACGAGCAAGCAGCACAGGCGTGAAGAGCGCAGCAAAGGGAGGTGAGGAGAGTTGTGGGAAATCGCAAGCAGGGGCCACGTCAGCACGGTTCCAACCACACGAGTCGCGGCTCCAGCACCTAGATTGTTGATCCCCCAAACCCAATCCATCCCATCCCCCCTCCCTTTCCCTCTTCCCCCTCTTTCCCCCCACCCAATCAGCCCCAAGTCAGTCCCAACCGCAATTGGGTGACTCATGTCCCCATGTCCCCCATTTCCATAAAAGCGGCTCGCGTGGAGTTGTGTGTGAGCTTCGCAGATAGTTTCTTCGTCCACCACTCCATCTGTTTCTGACCTGCAATTTTGGTGCTCGGAGCGGTCGAGGATTGAGTTACGGCCGACGGCCTTCTCGATGTGTCACGCATGGAGAATCAATAAAAGCGGCTAGGATATCTTTCATCCTCGTTATTGCGCCGGCGTGTACTATGCTGATATGGCGGCCAACATGGCGACTCGTCTGGAATAACGACGGCCTCGGTGTTCTCCTGTGTGATTATCAGACCAAACGACGAGGCGAGTGGTGACATTCACAACCTACAACTACTTCCTCTAATGGTGGCGAGCAGTGTCCAATCATTCCTTCTCACCTATTATCGAAAAAACGTTAATTAGCCGCTTAAAGAATCACGACTAATTTATGCTGTTGGAGCACGGACAAACCATTTTTTCGGCCGCCCCTGCCGTTCCCTCTCATCAGAATACTTGCGACTGGCCTTGCTAATATTAAGATTCGCATATCCATGCACATTAACTTCGCAGCTGCTTACTGATTGCAACTCGGACGCTGGTCGTGTGTAAACAGTCGGGGAAGGTATATACTGCCAAGCCTCGCACCACTGCCACTTCGCAGCACGCTACGGCCAACACAAGCCACAGGGACCGACTCTCCTGTACTCTTCCCTACCCATGACGACCGATTTGCTAGTATTTGCGCACTTTGCAAAAGAGTCAAGTCCGCTGTTCAACTCGCGGCTTCTGTCCCTTTCAAGACTTCCCCGCACTTCCCCGCTCTCGACCCCGCTCTTTCGGCCGTTCTCTCCTCTGAGTTATGGGCCCTCCATTGGCGGAACGACTTCTTCGCGCCATGGCTTCCCAATGCCGCGTCGTTCCTCGCAGTTGTCGCCTTCAGCAGGAGCGCGGACCACGGTGATTGCGGCGAGCGCCGTGAGCGTCGAGCGCGGACGCACGACAGGACAGGGGCTCGGCCGCGGCCTGCCGGAACGCGCGGCATTCGGCGCGTCAAACGGCACCGGTGCGAGCAACGAGTCGTCCTTGGGCTCCGCAGGGAGAAGCGCGAGCAGGCGCGAAGGGGCCGGCGAGGGGACGAGACGAGCGGAGCGCGGGCGGGCCGTGGTGGCGCGTGCGGTGGTGGGCGGGGAGATTGCGCTGGGTCCGGCGGTGGTGGCGCAAGTGATCGACGACCTCGGGCTCGACGCGCTGCTGTTCCTGCTCACCACGGTCATCATCGTTCCCACCTGCAAATGGCTCAAGGTACTTACTTACATATTTTGGTAGCTTCTTTGAATAAAGTTTTATCGTGCTAGCTTGCACATGAGCCAAGGTGCCGGCCGTTGGCGGTCGTTTAACCCTTCATATCCCGTTCTCTTATGTTCGTAACTCGTTTTGTTTTCATAAGCGTCCAATGCTCGAAGCCTCGTTCAACCCTTTAATTGCTCCTCGAGCCGTCTCATTCTGAACCGAGCGGCAAATCCAGCCCAACATGAACGGACTCTGAACCCGCTCTGCCGCGTTTCTCTCCACGGCACTCGGCTAAGAACACTCTCAACCACTCCGCACCATGCCCTCACGTCTCCGCTTCCTCCCATTTCCTTCCCCTTCCCCTTCCCCTCGTCCCTGTCCTGCCCGCCCTCTTCCCCTCCCCTTCCCCCCGTCCCCTTCCCCAGATAAGCCCGATTCTGGGGTTCCTGGGCGCGGGGCTGGTGTTCAGCCGGCTGGGGTTCGGGCAGCACGTGAACGAGATCGCGCCGGTGTCGGAGCTGGGCATTCTCTTCCTGCTCTTCCAGATGGGCATCGAGCTCTCCGTCGACCGCCTTAAAGAGCTCGCCAAGTACTCTTTCGGCCTCGGCCTCTCGCAGGTGCGCCTTGTTCTTGTTGTTACTGCGAGCGGGGATTGCGGGGGCTCTGTGCTGGGGAGATTTGGTGGGGCTGTGGAGGGTATGAGTCATGGCAAGTCGACATCAGAGGACAGGAGGCTAATGTGAGCTGCAGTACGATTTTTTACACCTGTCACTCAGAAAAAGCCTGGAACAACCGCATTGGAACAAGCCACGGTGCAAATAAATTCGTGCCTTGGTAATTCGCAGGGTCACAAAATGGACCGCACAATCTACCTGTCCTCCTCTACTCTCTTCTCTTCTCACCTCCTCTTCCTCCCCGTTCCACCCTTCATTACCCCTTTGCCCTTGTGCAGATTGCAGCGTGCACCCTCGCGTTCGCGTTCCTGCTGCAACCAGCCGACAGCCCCATCTCCCCGGCCCACCTCTTCTCGCAAGCCTCCTCCCTCCTCACCCTCCTCCCCTCCTCCCTCACCTCCCTCGTCCCCGCCCTCCCCCCGCTTCCTTTCTCCACCGACCTCCTCGCTCCCCTCGCGAACATCACGCTGGACGAGGCGCTCGTCATAGCCGTCGCGCTCTCCCTCTCCTCCTCCGCCTTCGTCCTTAATCTCCTCGACGAGCACGACGAGCTCGAGACGAAATTCGGCTCGGCCACTCTGGGCGTGCTGCTGATGCAGGACATAGCAGTCGTGCCTATCCTTGCCATACTCCCCGTGCTTGAAGGTGGATTCTCCGCCGCTGCTGGCGCTGCAGGGGACGCCGCCACCACCACCGCCACCCTCGCTGCCACCACCGCTCCCATCGCTGCTGCAACAGCAGCAGCAGGAGCCGCAGCTGGAGCAGCGGCAGGAGCAGCAGGAGCAGTGGCGGCGGGTGCAGCAGAAGCTGCAGCGGCCACAGCAGCAGCAGTGGCAGCAGACCCGTCCGGATTCCTCTTCTCAGTTGCAGCAGCGCTCCTAGGCGGCCCTGCAAACGTCGCTCTAGCCCAACTCCTGGTAGCAGGCGCGCTCAAGGCTCTCCTGGGCCTGGGCGCCATTCTCGTGGGAGCGCAATGGCTTATGAAGCCTGCTTTCGCAGCAGTGCAGCGCGCCAATGCGCCAGAAGCCTTCCTGGCTCTCTCTCTCCTCGCTGTCACTGGCACTTCCCTTGCCACCGACAAGCTGGGGTTTTCGGATTCTCTCGGAGCTTTCCTGGCTGGTGCGATTCTGTCCTCTACGCCTCTCAAGCATGACGTGGCGCTCTGCACGGGTCCCCTGCAGAAACTGCTGCTGGGACTGTTTTTCGTCACTACTGGCTCTTCTATCGATGTGGATTTGCTCGTGGAGCAGTGGCCGGTAATTCTGACGCTTCTTGGCGGCTTGCTGGCAGTGAAGACGGCGACAGTTGCGCTGCTGGCGCCCAGGTGGGGACTGAAAGGCAAGGATGCCATTCGCACGGCGCTGATTCTGTCGCCTGGAGGAGAGTTTGCCTTCGTGGTGCTGGCACTGGCTTGCGACCTAGGTGTTCTTCCCACTGATGTCAACCGGATTGTGCTTATCGTGGTGGTGCTATCCATGGCGCTTACTCCTGCTCTGGATGCTCTGGGGTATCTTATCGCTGGAATCGGTGGGAGGGATGAGAACGATGGGTGGCTGGATGTTGAGCTGGTGGAGAGGCGGAAGCATGGGAAGGCGTTACCTGGTGAAGGTAGGGGGTTGTTCCTGCCAGCTGGGGTGGTGGATGTAGATGTGGGGGAGGTGAGGCAGGGGGGCAGAGGAGGAGGAGAAGCAGAGGAAGGGGATATGGATGATGGGTCTTTGGAGGAACTTGAAAGGATTGCTTCTGGAGCTATCCCCCCTCCGCCTCTTGAGCCCAACCCTGTGTTTGCAGCACGGAGTGAAGGGGACGGACGCGAGAGCAACAGTGGTAAGGATGTATCTGTGTCAGGGGGCGGAATGGGGGGCTCTGCAGCAGCAATCAATCCGGGAGGGGGCGCTGGGGTTTCTGGGGCGGGTGGGGGAGAGGGATTTGGGGGTGATGTGTTTGGTGGGGGGGATGGGTTTGGAGCAGCCACAGGTGCAGCTTCAGTAGCGGCAACAGCAGCAGCTGTGGCTGCTGCGACTGGGAGTGAAGAGGCATCAGCTGTTGCAATGGCTGCAGCTGCTGCGGCAGCTGCAGCTGCGGCGGCAGGATCTATGGGAGAGAGGAGGGGGAGGGTAGAGAGGGAGAGGGCGGCAAGGAAGCGGGGTGGCGCATCGAGTAATCGCCGGCGAAGAGTCGGACGAAGATGAAGACATATGTTCCGAGTTAGTGAATCTCTAGTGCGGGCTAGGGACAATCTGGATGGGTGGTTGGAATGTTGATTAACAGTTTGAGAATTGCATAGGTCTGCTGGAACTGTGAAACAGCTCTGTTGTAGGCATCTGTAGTTGCGGTTGTGATGGCTGATCACATTAGGTGATGGTTCTCATGTACAGTTTCTTGATTCTTAGTGTTGACCATTCGATCGTCATCTACAGGTTGAAGATAGTCTACCATTAGAGAGCGTATTAACACACATTACTCCATACACATACCATCCTCATGTTCCCCAAGCCCTGCCGTAATGCCCCGGATAGAGGCCCCTCAGTTAATTGGCCCCGGGGATTAACACGGGGGAAGGGGGGATGGTCCAATTGTAAGGAATTTTCTCGATACTCCTTAGCGCACCCTGCAACATCGCGTACAGCAGCAGCCGTTGTTCGCCCGTTACTGCTAACAGGGCTTCGCCGACTTCGCGCGCACTGTTTCACCAAACCTCGCACTGCTGGCCTGGCCGTGTCGGCCTACGCTTCGGGACTAGCCCGAGCCTCGCTTCCAGCATAGCACTAGCTAGCTCGCACGCACCGCGTTACCGTTTGCATGTTTCGCGCATAAATGTTCGCTCATGCCTTCGCTCACATTTTGTACTCGTTTGACACCTTAGTGCAATTCTCGCTACTTCGGTTCATCGCACCCGTAACCTGGGCTGACGCTATCAGACTAAATAGTCTGATTAGTCTGACGAATCAGACCATCCAGTTTGTGAAAAATGGAATTCTAGAGTAGTCAAATTTTCATCACTGAGAGCCTCAGAGTTATTGTTTTATGGCCCCTGATTCAGTGTAATAGGCCTAAGTGTTAGTCGTTTCTGGAGTCTGTCACTACAGAGTAAGCGTTCTGTGGTCCCTGCATGCGAGTTTCGGGAGGAAACTTCCTCGAAATTTCGTTTCGATACACCTACCTCCAAGGTGGCAGCGAATGCCAACACGTGAGCAAAGCACACAGCACCTGCTGCGATATCTGAATACCCTCTATCTGCGGCAGTATCACGCAGGTCGAATTGTGTCCCACTTAGGTTAACCGTTGAAGCGGGCTAGAAAAAGAAGCCCAATAGTGATATCTTAGCGGATAGCACAACAAATCGGCGAATCGGTGGGAGAGGATATCTTGCCACAGGTAATGTATCGCACTTTTTGGTGCTGAAATCGAAAATTTCTCCGCACCACAGCACTTGAAATAAATTGTTCCTGATTCGTAGGTTGAAAAAATATGTTGCGGAGGCACCGGCAGATTCTCGCGCGCCAAGTGGTGGTTCGTGCCTTGTGCCAGCCCAGCTGCGTGGCAGGTCGCCCAGTTGGCACTTGCAAAGTTGCGCCAAATCGAGCCAATGTTGCAACAGTCCTTCTCGCCACTTGAAGCTCACCGACAAACCAGAAGGAAAAAAAAAAAAAAACCACGACTTTGAAGTCATTTCCCCAACACTGAAGGACCAGAGTTGTGTTTTTTTCAACCCTGATTTCTTTTAACACGCTCATAGTGGCCATTTTGCGGCCGAAGTGCCGTCAGAGTAGAAAAAAATTTTGCGGGTCAAAAACAGGGAGGCGTTTTTTGAAACGTCAGCCCTGCCCGTAACACCAATAAACATATATGTTATTGTAAGCCCAGGGGCTATAGCAAACCATTGATAGTATGCCCTGCCCCAAAATATGACAAAACTAATGAAAGTCCCACTATGCCTCTATCCCAAAGGATACCGTATGGCCCTGGATATAAGCGCAGGCCTATGTTAAGCGCATGCGCTTGTATCTGGAGCAATGCGCTTATGGCCGATCCTCAATTATAAGCGCACCCCCTGGAAAATCGTGACTTATTATAAGCGCACCCATTTAGTTAAAAAAAAAATAACATTTTTTTTTAACCTACCTAGCCTACATGTTCTAATCTTTACATTAACTTAGACAATCACATACAAGGGTGGTCTTTGCTGTCCTGCACTACACACCTTTCAACCTGCCTAGTCTACCCTACTGCCTATTCTTCCTCCTCGTCCGACTCGGGCTCGGTGGAGTTGTTGCCCCAGAACCCATCTGCCTGGATGTCGTCGTCCACCTCCTCCTCATGGGACAACTGGCCTCTCCGGTGCGCCAGCACCAGTTTGTCTTCGCTCCCATCAAGGGCGTTGCTGATGCCGCACGTGAGGAAGGCTCTCTTGATCAGGTCGGCGGGCACCGCCTTCCACGCCCGGGAAATCCACTTGAGCACCACCTCCGGAGGTGGTTTCTTGATGTTCCCTGCATCACACGGAGTGGGGCGGGGAAAACATGAGACAACTAAACAGGCATACAAGCTCAAGACATTTTCGGTGTATGCCTGACTCCCACGCCACTTCGCTCACCGAAGCCGCAAGCTCGAGCCGCACGAGCCACCTCAACTTCTCCTGGGCGGTGTAGGACTGCCGCTTATGTTGACTCTGCTTGTGCCTGGGGGAGGGGGGGCGGGCATCTCGATTCTCGGTAGACGGGTGGGGGCGTTTTTTGTTAAAGGGCGGATACGTCGGTATCGGCATCTTCGCGCGTGGTGCGTTGCGCCACCAGGACTCCACACCGTCCTCGTCCTCGGCAGTTGTGTCACGGTCGGGGAACACGTCTTCCTCGTCGCCCGCTGCACCGGCGCCACCAGCTTCACCGTCGCCTCCAGCTTCGCCGGCGTCGCTGTCATGTTTATCGGCGGCCACATCATCGTCGGCGCCCACAGCCGACTCATCCCACGCGCAGGATTCAGGTTGTCCCCACCGTGGTGCAGGCGCCGGAGCTTGGATGCGTGTATCGGGGGCCTTGGGTGTGTCCGCTTCAGCTAACCATTTGTCGAACGTGGCCGGTAAATACAGTTGGAGCACGGGCCGTTGGTGAGCACCTGCCGTAACAGACTCAGGCGGATTCGGAGGAGCGGGAGGTGCGGGAGGAGCGGGTGGAGCAGGAGGCGCAGGAGGAGCAGGAGGAGCAGGGGGTGCAGGGGGATCTGGTGGCACTGGAGGCGCTGGTGGCTCACGGGTATACCACCCGTCCTCGGTAAGTCGCCATGTGCGGCGGGGCTTTTTCTTGAAGAGGATGTGAGTCCCACTAAATTCCGCCATGGCTTCGCCTGCCAGGCGGGGTTGACAAGAAACTGAATGAAAAAATAAGAGAAGAGGGTGAAGAAATGGGCAACGACGGTGACCCCTACTGCGTGGCGGCTCGGGTTCCTCGTCGATGACAGGCAGGAAACCCCCGCCTACTCCCGTAGAGGCGCCTGCGTGACAGCATCTACGCTGCGCTGGCAGGGAATTTTGCCGAACCTTCGAGATGGTTCTGCCCGAATGCACATGCCACGCAGCGCATGCGGCTCTGATTGGGCCGCACGGCAACATCCTCGTCACGGCTGTCACTGTCGATGTTTCCAGACAACATTGTGCGGTGGGAAACCGAACCGCTGCGGTTTCTGCCTGAAAACCATGCACGATCCCACTTGGTGCATGGTTGGTTGAATTCGCCTTATTGAGAGCTTCACAATGGTGTGTTTAAAATTGACTTTCATTTTATCCTTTATACAAGCGCATGCGCTTATAAATCAGACTCAATTATAAGCGCACCCCCCCAAAAAACCAGGTTTTATTATAAGCGCAGGTGCGCTTATATCCGGGGTATTACGGTACGTGCGTAGGTGCCCTCCACTTTAGTGCAACGGTGGTGTTGTGTAGGGAGGGACGAGGTGGCATAATAAAGAAGCATTTTTCTCCAATCCTACATGAAGAATTTGCACTCGTACACTCTTGAAGGCATGCATACGCACACATGCAGAATAAAGCGCAAGTCTACGCACCAAAGAAGTCTATATTGACACGCTATCTTAAGCATGTTGCAAGATGATGCTCTGGATGATTTTCTAACCTATATATTTCATCTGAAGTCAACAATGATATCATTTGAACCGTTGTTATGCTGAGGTTCCAATTTGGACTGTCTAGACAGGTGTATTTATAGTGACACGATATTTTCTATGAATGTATCGGTAACTAGGCACAAAACGAAATGTGGGCGAAATCAGACTTTGTGTGAGCGAGATGGAGCAGCAGCCCTTTGAATTTGGGGATTCAAAACCCTGAGCTGCGAACAGAGTCGTCACGCTGAAGCTAGAAGCACAAGTCCACATAGATTTTGGCCTGGCCCCGAACTTCTCAAGTTTGAGAGGTCCGGATGTCGTTTGAAAGGGTTTGGCTGTATGGTTTCGATTCCCGAATTTCAAAACTCCGAAGTTGAATCCGAGACGCCTCACACCTCCCCAGCCAAATTCGCCCAAACTCACAAAGCGAAAATTGAATTCTCGTGTTTTGTATGTCGCGATTCAAACCGCATCGCATCTGTCTGTGCCTACCTGTCTCCGAACCAGCTGCCAAGCCTGCCACCATACCAGACCCACCCCAGAACCCAAGACAAATTTCTCCTTCCCCTGTGATCCCAGAGCCAGTGACCCCCTTCCAGATCTGCACGCGCCTCGATGTGATTGTCTGCTCTCGCTGCTGTGCTCTGCTGCTGGTCAGGCTAGCTGATAAAAAGGCTGGCTTCAGCCGCTATTAGTTCAACTAATCAGCTCAGCTCTCGATCGTTCCTCTTCACCTCTTGACCAGGTGATCCTAGCTTCCTCATTACGCTTCCTTAAAAGCTTTACTGTGCGCGATAGGTATCACTCAACCATCAGTGTTCGCCTTCTCGCTGTTCGATTCCACAGCGCGAGACTGGTCTTATCCATCAACGGACAATCAGCGACATCAACAGCCATGTTCGTCATTAAGCGTGACGGCCGCAAGGAGACGGTGCACTTCGACAAGATTACCGCAAGACTGAAGAAGCTGAGCTATGGGCTCAATCCGGACTTCTGCGATCCGGTTGTCGTTGCTCAGAAGGTCTGCATGGGTGTGTACAAGGGCGTCACTACCTCGCAGCTTGACGAGCTCGCTGCTGAGACCGCTGCTGCAATGACGTCAACTCACCCCGACTACGCCATTGTCAGTACCGAAGCCTAAATGACTCCCTCCAATGCTTCGTTCTGAAGTATCGATGTACTTCGTATCCCGCATTGGTCTGTCGAGGTCCGCCTCCATCAAGAAATTACAGTGTGAATTAACAATTTCTGTGGCTTTTCTCCGTGTCATTCCAGCTCGCTGCGAGGATCGCGGTGTCGAACCTTCACAAGAACACAAAAAAATCCTTCTCTGAAACGTAAGCGGCCTCAACTAACGTTGATGTTTATCTGTCGCTTCAGCTCCACCATGAAGCCCGTTAACCCGCTGAGACTGATGGCCCTTCTCTGCCGTTTCGATTTGTTTCTCAGAATCAAGGATATGTATTATCATGTGAACAAGGAGACGGGCCAGGACTCTCCTCTGGTCAGCGAAATGGCTTACAACATCATCATGGAGGTATGATGGGATTCCTTTTTCGCCGCTGTTCGTTGATTGCGACTACACGAAGCAGCCGCACAAGGAGATGAGCTTTGTCATCTTGGGCTGTTTTGATCATTCGTATCCTTAACAATCCTTCCTTCCATTTCATGGAATGACTTGCAGAATGCGGATATCCTCGACAGCGAGATTATTTACGACCGTGACTTCGAGTACGACTACTTCGGCTTCAAGACTCTGGAGCGATCCTATCTTCTTCGTGTCAATGGCAGGTGAGCTTTTCTCTTCACATCACGTAGCGTGAAGCAGCACGCTCGAGGTTCCTTTCCTGATGCATTTCATTTTCCGGTCTTGCAGGGTCGTGGAGAGGCCGCAGCACATGCTGATGCGTGTGGCCGTGGGCATCCATGAGCGCGACATCGAAGCCGCCATTGACACGTACCACCTCATGTCGCAGCGCTGGTTCACGCACGCCTCGCCCACGCTCTTCAACGCCGCCACGCCGCGCCCGCAGCTCAGCAGCTGCTTCCTCGTCTGCATGAAGGACGACTCCATCGAGGGAATTTATGACACTCTTAAGGAGTGCGCCGTTATTAGCAAGTCTGCGGGTGGCGTCGGTCTTGCGATTCACTGCATCCGCGCCGCTAACAGCTACATCCGCGGCACTAACGGGACGTCCAATGGCATTGTGCCGATGCTGCGCGTGTTCAACAACACGGCGAGATACGTGGATCAGGGCGGCGGCAAGCGCAAGGGCGCGTTCGCCATATACCTGGAGCCGTGGCACGCCGACGTGTTCGAGTGGCTCGACCTGAGGAAGAACCACGGCAAGGTACTTACTCAATTTCATGTTCACCCGCAGTTTTACTTTATTGCATCGGCCATTTATTCGTGTGCTTGGATGTTTCTTCCCTGGGCCCCTAATTTGTGTGCTTGGTCTGCGGTTATGGCGTGCAGGAGGAGAACCGTGCGCGCGACCTGTTCTACGGGCTGTGGGTGCCGGACCTGTTCATGCAGCGCGTGCAGGAGAACGGCCCCTGGTCGCTCTTCTGCCCCAACGAGGCCCCCGGGCTTGCTGACTGCTGGGGCGACAAGTTCGTGGAGCTCTACACCAAGTACGAGAGTGAGGTACGCGCCGGTACTTGGACCTCCTGATGCAGAATAGTGACGTATTTTTTTCGAGACGAAGCCGGTGCACTGGATCGTTGCAGGCCGTTTCCTCGGTTTCAGTGTCTTACGTCGTGGTCTGTTCTTGTGCCTTCATACATGCAGGGCCGAGCCCGCCGCGTGCTTCCCGCACAGAAGCTCTGGTTCGCGATCCTGGAGGCCCAGATCGAGACTGGCAACCCGTACATGCTCTTCAAGGTACCCAAACTTCCCCAGGCAGCTGCATTCCGTCATCTTCACATATTGCTATACAATACCCTCTGCGTTCTTGTTGAAGTTTACCTTTTTATTTTCCGTGGGTTGCTAACCGCTTCTTCTCTCCGGACTGCGTGTCGGTGTGTCGGCGTGATGGTGAGCAGGATTCGTGCAACCGCAAGAGCAACCAGCAGCACCTGGGCACCATCAAGTGCAGCAACCTGTGCAGCGAGATCGTGGAGTACTGCGCGCCCGACGAGACGGCCGTCTGCAACCTCGCCTCCATCGCGCTGCCCCGCTACGTCCGCGAGCAGGTCAGCACGCGCGCGTGAGGCGCTGGAATCACCTCGGATCTGCCGTTCTTCAGGCCTTGGCGCAATTTCAGGGCCTTGCGCGTTAATCGAACCCAATCGTTCCGCTGTTCTAACCAACCGCTCTCAATTCCGTCGTTGGCTCCATGACTCGCAGGGCTTGGCGGCGGACGTGAAGCTGATCGGCAGCCGTAACCACGCGCAGCGGTACTTCGACTTTGAGAAGCTGGGGCAGGTGACGGAGGTGATCACGCGCAACCTCAACAAGGTGATCGACGTCAGCTACTACCCCACCGACTCGGCGCGCCTGTCGAACGAGCGCCACCGCCCCATCGGCATCGGCGTCCAGGGCCTGGCTGACGTGTTCATCCTGCTCGGCATGCCCTTCGACTCCGCCGAGGTCAGAAGAACCTCCCTTCCCCTCCCCTTGAATTTCAAAATGTTGGATCTGCTGTGGAATGACTAACTATCTCGTTACGCGGAATTTCTTGAGCAAATACAGCAGTTGTTCACTCCGTGTCTCCTTCATATCCTCGCCTCGCGGTTACCCCTCGCCTCACCATGCATCTCCCCTGTTCCCGCCACATTCCGCCCCGTATCCTCCCAGGCGAACGCGCTGAACCGCGACATATTCGAGACGATCTACTTCCACGCGCTCAAGGCGTCGTGCGACCTGGCGGAGACGCACGGCAAGTACCCCACGTACGACGGCAGCCCCATGAGCAAGGGCCTGCTGCAGCCGGACATGTGGGACGGCGTCCAGCTCACGCAGGAGCGCCACGACTGGGCGGCGCTGCGCGCGCGGATTGCGCGCGTGGGGCTGCGCAACTCGCTGCTGCTTGCGCCCATGCCCACCGCGTCCACGAGCCAGATCCTTGGGAACAACGAGTGCTTCGAGCCGTACACGTCGAATATCTACACCCGCCGCGTGCTCAGGTGCGTGGCGTTGCTCCACTCGCTGTGCTCTCGCTTGACTGTTCGCCTGCTTACTTGACTGCCGATCTTGGACAACTGGTGTCCCTTCCGCCTCTCCCAACGTGCATTGGATGCGCCCAACGAGGCCAATTCTTGCCTCACCTTGCCCTGTCCTGCTGTGTGCTGCCCTGCCCTGCTGCTCGCCCACTCGCGCGCATCCCATGTGCAGCGGTGAGTTCGTGGTGGTGAACAAGCATCTGCTGAGCGACCTGACTGGCATGGGCCTGTGGACGCCCGCGCTCAAGAACGAGCTCATCTACCACAACGGCTCCGTTGAGGGCATCGCCGCCATTCCCAACCACCTCAAACCGATCTACAAGTGAGTATGGGGGAAAATTGGCTGAGTTCCTGGGGACTGGGTTTTGGATCTTTCCTGCCATTTCTGCTGTTTGGACTGCTCCTGAGCAAGCCTTTGTGGTGCTGTGATTGGCAGGACGGTTTGGGAGATCAAGCAGCGTGCAGTGGTGGACCTGGCTGCGACGAGGGGCGCGTTCATAGACCAGAGCCAGAGCCTCAACATTCACCTGGACACGCCCAACTTCGGCAAGCTCACCTCGCTGCACTTCTACGCCTGGTCCAAGGTGTGTGATGGCTGCTGCTGCTGCCGCTGCTGCTGCTGCTGCTGCTGCTTCTGTTGTTGTTGCTGCTGCTGCTGCTTCTGTTGTTGTTGCTGCTGCTGCTGCTGCTGCTGCTCTTGAGCTTGTGCTGTTGCACTTGTATTTGATGTTCCTTCACCTGTTGTCGTGTGTGTGTGTGTGTGCATGAGCAGGGTCTCAAGACGGGCATGTACTACCTGCGAACTCGCAGTGCTGCAGACGCCATCAAGTTCACTGTCGACGCCTCAGCAGTGCAGGTCAGCTGCTGCTGCTGCTGCTGCTGCTGCTGCTGCTGCTGCTGCTGCTGCTGCTGCTGCTGCTGCTGCTGTTGCTGCTGCTGCTGCTGCTGCCGCACTGCTATTTCCTTCTCTCCTACATTTATCGGGCTTTCTCCTGCTCATCAATCTCATCTATATCATTTATTTCTGCAATTGTCTCTCTGGTCAGGGGAGCAAGGTGCAGGTGCAGGCAGCGGGGCGGGAGGAGAAGGGGAAGCTGGACGTGGTGGTATCGTCCAAGGCAGCATCAGTGAACCTCGCAGCCATGGTCTGCTCTCTTGAGAACCGCGACGAATGCCTTGCCTGCGGCAGCTGATCGATTCGTCACCCGCGAGCCACTAACTGTCTCAGTCATTGTTCCTTTGAGCCTCCTCCTGGCTGGCCTCAGCCGTCTCCCCACACTAACACTCCTTGCTGCTTGAAACAATACCCCACCATCCGTACCTCCTGCTTCAGTCCAAGCTAACATCGCGACTCAGCATCCACCTTCCTACCACGTTCCTTGGTTGGAACTACTAAGCCTATTTCTCCATGAAGTGGCTATGGCTATGAGCCTGTGGCTGGCATCTGCTTTACCCTAACAGCTTTACCTGATTTCTTTTGGTTCTGTTCCCTTCTCCTTCTGGGTAGATTTGACTGCCCGTCTCCTGTTCTTCTCTACAAGGGGCGGATAGGGGATGTGGTTGGCTACTAGATGTCATATGTCAGCTTGGCAGTGGCACTCTGGCTGTAGCGCCGGCTGTAGCGTTAGCTGTTGCCGGATGCTGTAGCTGTATATAGATGTGGCATCACGTGCTGATGTCACATGGGGAGATATATTGGGTGCTTCCCCACTGCCTGTACCTTTTCTTATTTCTTATTATTTACCAATCTCTCACATTTTTTCATCGAGAAAAGGTACAGGCAGATCACATTATAGTATGCAGGAGCTCAATGACACCACAACTGCAAAGGAGCTTGAACAAACAGTAATCCCTGTTCAAGGAGTCTGCTGGTGCTCCCAGCTAGTGCGCCTGCACTGCACCTCCCACCCCCGCATCAATTTCATCAATCTTTCAGCTACCTGGTAGAAAGCTTTGCCTCAAGGCATCAGAACGACCTTTCCAGATACCGGTATGCGGACAAATTTTGCTTTAAGCTTCCTTGATGTACGGTAGTAGGATACGCTTGACCAAGCTGCAGCAATGGCCATTGATGCTGTAGCAGCTTATTTATTCCATCAACACTACAGTGCAGCAGCCCCAGCTGCCACGGCATACCAGTGCCGCAGAGACACCATCTGTGTTTGCCTTCTCCCCTCAACGACCATCTACCCCTGGTATGCCCTGAACCGACCACATTCATTGCTCCAACAAACAACTACGGTAGAACAATGATGCTTTACTCAGAGCACTGCCAACATCCACGGGACAATGGTTGCTCAGTCCAGATGCCTTTTCCAGAACCAGCTGGCACTCCAAAGACTGACCAAAACACCTGCTCCTGTTTCTCTTCTTTGCTATCACTTGCCGGCAGAAGCGCCAGCGCCAATGCCGGCAGCGGCAGCGGTGAACGCGAGCGAGGACCGCTGGTCAAAGAAGCGCGTGAGGGGGCAGCTAGAGCCGACAGCAGCGACCCACATGTTGAGGTGCACCTCCCATGCGTATGCCTGTGTGGCATGCAGCTCCACCATGATTGAGTTGCGCCCCGACATGAGCCGCACGTTGCTCACTGCCACTATGGTTGTGGACCAGGGGGCCCTTGGACTCGCGTCTATCACGGCCTGTTGAGAGTACAGTGCATGGACCGGGGAAGGCGGGTGATTGTCCGAAACGCATGGGCAGTGGGGGTGAGGAGGCGTAAATTGGGAATGCGGTGGTGGGGTGGAGGGTTGTTGGGGGGAAAGTGAGGAAAAGGGGAAGCTTGGGGCTGCACCCACAAAACAACTATTAATCAACCTATTGACCGACCACTCACGGGCGTGGAGATGGTAACAGGTGTGGAGGAGGAAGCAGCAGGCATGTTGGAGCGGAAGGCCTCGGCGCCGTTGACATACACCACGATGCCGTCACTTGCCTTGTACCCGAACAGCAGCGAGCGGTAGCACCCCGCGTACTTGAGCGAGAAGGACGCGCGGAAATACCATGCCAGCGCGCCCTGAGGTGGGGGGGAGGGGAAGGGAGGGCGATGGGTGCAGGAAGGAACCGACGTTTTGGTTTTTGAGAATTCTCAAAAACCAGCAGGTGGGTCATTGTGGGTGTGATGGGTATGCGGCATTGTGGTTGTCGAGCAGTGAGCGGTCGCACCCCGTGTGAGTACTTGAGAAGCTGAGCGAGAACGACGAGCAGAAACCCCACGCACGCAGCACAGAGATCCTACCAACCAATCAGAGAAATTGTTCTATGAGAATGCAAAGTGCATATATCTAACAAGGCCCACCGGAGTCTACCGGTTACAGGTCTACCGGAGTGAGCTAAGGCCCAAACAGCGAGCAAGCAAGAGAGAGAGTGGCACGGGCCTACCGGAGCCCCTACCGGGCCAGCGTGTGCGACGGTGGTGACCTCGCCCTGCCCGCCGTAGCCAAAGGGCGCGCGCCCCACCTTCCACCTGGCGGGCGGCGCATACGCGAGGAACTCGGGGGGGTACTTCATGGTATCGCTGTAACTCCAGTTGGCAGACGGCGGGATTATGCCGCATTGGCTGGTGGAGGGATGGGAGGCAGAGGGCGAGGGCGTGGAATGGGACGATGGATGGGTGAGAGATGGGTGCGCCCGTGGAAGGATGGAAGGATGGAAGCAGGGCAGCAGGGCAGCAACGCAGGAGAGCTTTTGAGAATCTTCAAAAGAGAAGTTGCCCTGCGGACGAATAGGTTACATTACATCTAGCGACTCACATGTTCACGCAGGAGAAGTTGCCGGGAACCTGCGTGAGCACGACAGTGGCGGAGGAGTTGGCACCGAGGGACACCTGCAGCACGGGAGCAGCGTCCAGACACAGCCACTGCGCCTGGGCTATCGTGGCGAATGGCAAAGTCACTCCGCTGCACGCTCTGGTGGAGGGGATAAGGTGGACAGGGGAAGAGCGGGGCAGGGAGTGGGGAGGAGAGAGGGTGGTTAGTCGGGGAGGGTGGGTGGTAGGGAGGAAAGACGAGAGGTGCAGACAAATTTCAAGTTGCGTTAGCCGCACTCTTCTCATGTCCGTTCCCCAGTCTCCCGTCCAGCAATCCCATGCCTCTCCATCTTCCCTCCCCTCACCTCCCCTCCCTTCCCTTCCACCCTCAGCCTACGGCACACGTACTGCCAGAAGATATCATCAGAGGGAGCCAGCTGCCACGAGTTTTAAGACGTCTCAACACACCCCTCCTTCTTCCCACCTCACCTCACCCCCCACCTAGCCTGCATGTGCAGCACACGTACTGCCAGAAGATATCATCAGAGGGAGCCAGCTGCCACGTGTACCCCGCACGGGGCAGCGGGAACTGCAGCACCACGGGCAGCGTGCATCCAAACCCCCCGTCCGCATACGACACTGTATACGCCGCTGGTGCAGCTGCAGCAGCACCAGATCCGCTCCCTCCTCCAGGTGTCACCACATACGCTCTCCCCGCCAGAACGTTCACGAACTGCGCGCCGTTGCTCGATATGCTCGCAACTCCCCCGCTGCTGCCGTTGCTGCTGCCTCCGGCTGGGATCAGTGTGAAGCTTGCGCTACCCCCTTGGATGGAGACAGTGCGGTAGCACGTGCCTGGACAGGCATAGCCGTTCCATTCGGGTTTCTGGGGGATTGGAGGAGAGGGAGAGGAGAGGAGGGTGGGTGGGGGAACGGGTGTGAGTGTGAGTGGGTTGGGAGAAGAGTGGGGAGTAAGATTCTGTTTTCTTGGGAAGCTGGACTAGCTGTCAAACCCAAATTACCTTGACGCCTGCACAGGCTCGCAGAGCACCTTTGAAAATCTCACAGCACCACCACTCACCGCAGTGCACACATCCCCTGCCGGCAGCAGCTGCCAGCACATCCCATCCCACACAGCCCCCACAAGCCCCAGGAGCAGTAGCGTGCTGCTATTTCCTTCTGAGACTCCCAAACTGGAATCCACTCCTCGCCAACCACCACTCACCGCAGTGCACACATCCCCTGCCGGCAGCAGCGCAGTATTATTTGCAACAGCAAACCCTCCACTCCTGCCAACCACCGACCCGTCCTCGTCGCGCCACACGTACGTGCCTGCCAGCGGCCCCGCATCCCCGTACCCGCCATCAAAGCCCAGCTGGCCGCGGTTGCGCGGGACGAGGTAGAGCGCGGGGGAGGTGGCATCGGGGAAAGTGAGGCTGCTGCTTGTGTAGGTTGCCGGCCAGATGTATGCTGAATGCCCGTTGGCTGGTGAGTTGGCGAGGTGGGGGGGTTGAGGGGGTGGGTGTGTGGGTGTGCGTGCATGTGTGTCTGTGCGAGAACGATAAACGAAATAGCAAAGGGAACAAAAAGCAGAGGCAAAGTAACAACGAACCAGGGGACGCAAAACAGACGGCGCAGCAGGGGGGAACAGAAGGCGCAAGCACGCACGTGAGATGCCGGCAGCCGGTTGGCAGCGGGGGTAGTAGCCAGAGAAGGAGCAGTTGACAATACGGTGGGGCACACCCATGCTCCACCCGTGGGCCGGTGGGTCCGCCTGGTCGATCAAAATGCCGTACTTGGGTGCGTAGCGGCTCACTGTTCGACTGTTGGAGCGTGCCTGGGGCAGGAGGATGAGGCGGGAAGGAGAGGAGGGGCATGTGAAGCGAGTGCGGGGCTTTTGAGACATCTCGAATGCCGTACTTGAGCGCATAGCGGCTCACTGTTCGATTGTTGGAGCGCACTTGGGGAGGCGCGAGAGGGGGGATGGGGAGGGGTAGAGGTGAGGGGGGAGGAGGGAGGAGAGGGGAGAGTGGAGGGATGAGGGGGGAGGAGGGAGGAGGGAGGAGAGGGGAGCGAGGAGGGGGTAAAAGAGAAGGGAATGGAGAGTAGGGAGTGGAGTTTGGGACCTTGTGCCTGGCCCAGCTTGCATTCACTCACATGCCCCCCACACACAAGTGCCCGTTCAGTCAAGTCCCCCATCTTGTGAGCGGCAGTGGCAGGTCGCACATGCCAGCGGAGGCCAGCGCCTTGGCTTGAAGCCTTTTGAGGCGTCTCAAAAGAGTTTTGAGGCGTCTCAAAAGAGTTTTGAGGCGTCTCAAAAGAGTTTTGAGGCGTCTCAAAAGTCTCAATAGTCATCACATGCCACACACGTGCCCCCTCTCAACCCAGCCCCCCCACCTTGGCGAGCGGCAGCGGCAGGTCACAGACGCCAGCGGAGGCGAGCGCCTTGCAGCCGCCAAAGGTGTTGCTGGGGTTGTCGCACATGGTGGGGTTGCCTATGTTGGCCGACTCGCCTATGAACACTGAGTCCGCTATCTGAAGGGAGACGGGTTGGTGGGGGGAGGGAGGGGGAATGATGGTGAGAATGAGGAGAGAAGGGAAGGGTGGAAAGGAAAGGGTTTGCTGGGGTTGTCGCACATGGTGGGGTTGCCTATGTTGGCCGACTCGCCTATGAACACCGAGTCCGCTATCTGAACAAGAGGGAACAAGAGGAGAAAGAGAGGATGAGGGGTGGGGAAAGGGGAGAAGACGGAGTGGGAGATGAGTGCATGGGATGGTGCATGAAGAGTAAGCCACGTGAAGCTTGCAGCAATCTGCACAGTGGAGAGGGTGAAGAGGTCTGGTGGAGAGGCCAAGTGGAGAGGCAAGGCCCGGACTCACCACAACGGCCTGGTCGCTGTTGAGCTCGACGCCCACCACTGCTCCCAGCTCTCACCGCGATGGCCTGGTCGCGATCCCCTCCCTTTCCCCCCCTCCTCCTCCTCCTCCTCCTCCTCCTCCTCGTCGTCCTCCTCCTCCCACTGCACTCACCACAACGGCCTGGTCGCGGTTGAGCTCGATGCCCACCACTGCATTGTCCGCCACCCGCGCTCCCCTGATGTGCAACCCATCCGAGTTGTGAATGAACATGCTGTGTGGGGGGGGGAGTGGGGGAAGAGGAGGGAGATGCGATGGTGTGGGGTGGGTGGATGGGTGGAGTTTTGAGCTGGTGGTGACTCAACTCAGGGTGTGAAAGCCTCAGCCTTGTGCAGCATTGTCACGTGGAGGGTGGGAAAGCAAGAACAGGAATACAAGCAGGAGCAAGAGAGGAAGAGGAGGGATACAAAAGGGGTGACTTCCTTCGGGCTCGAGCACTCCCACATTCCCCTGCCACTCGACAGCCTCCTCCAATCATCGTATGAATCATATTGAGGCGCTTACAAAACCTATCTCGTTTGTTCACTCACCCTATGAACTGGTTCTTGTACGCCCGGAAGCTCGTCATTGTGATGTTCACTTGCGGCTGTTGGGATAGGAGCGAAAGAACGCGAGTTCCAAAAAGATGAAAGAAAGTGGCAACAGCTACAGCAGCAGATGGAGAGGTAGACGGACAAACAGGCACGCTTCAACAGAGGCACAGAGAAACTCCAGGCAAGCACCACACAGCACCGCACGGCACTGCGCAGCACCAAGCGGAGAAGAGCCTCACCGCGTTGATCCCGGACTTTTCCTGCACGTTGGAGACCCCCCCGTTGAGGCGAGGGCGGTACCCTGAGGGGTACGTGCGCAGCCCCGCACGGCCGTTGGAGTGCGCCGCGTTGCCCACGAACGGGCCCAAGGGGATCAGGAACGGCGTCACCCCTGCCGCGTTCGGGAAGAGCGCTGACGGCCCCTCCACCCGCCCCGGTAGCTGGAACCAGAAGCTGGATGGAATGGAAGGGGGAGGAAAAGGGCCGAGAAAGGAGATTCGAGGCACTGATGAAAACATTGCAGGGTAGCTGAAACGAGAAGCTGGTGTGTTGAGGAATGGAGGTGAGCATGGGAGGGGTTGAACGAGGGGGGCGTGGGAACAACAGCGAAGGGATAAAACAAATGTGGTCAATCTGCTACAAGTATGATTCAGAGACACCCGGCCAATTCACAGTGGAGTGGAGAGCAGCAGATGGCAGGCAGGCAGGCATACCCCGAGTCGAACGACCCCGCAGCGACATTCCCGATGAACGTGTTGTTGGGGTTGGTGATCCAAAACGTGGACGTGCTCTGAGTCGACTCGAAACACAACTCACCCCGAGTCGAAAGAGCCTGCAGCAACGTTCCCGATGAACGTGTTGTTGGGGTTGGTGATCCAAAACGTTGACGGCACGTCGTCGCTCTGTGTGGCTGGTATGGCGTCCGTGGGCTGCAGCAGACGCTTCACTGGCTCCTGATTGGGGGGGAGACAGGAGGAGGAGGGGACAGGGAAGAAAAGTGGGGAGTGGGTGGGAAAGAGGGTCGGAGGGGAGGTGAGAGGGAGCGAAAGGGGAATGGGAGAACGAGGTGGAGCGGTTGGATATAAGGGACAAAGGGAGACAGAGCGGAGGTAGGCAGCAGTGCGATAAAGAGGTAGTGTGAGTGAGAGAGGGAGGGAGGGAGGGGCAAGCCAACGAAAAAAAATGTACATGAAAGCACACACCCGCACACACACACACACACACACACACACACACACACACACACACACACACACACACACACACACGTCCACCCAGAGAGCACACATGAGCACAAACAGACCTGCAGGAAGCCAAGGTTGTTGACAAACGTGTTGCCAAACTCAATGGCATCCTCCAACAAGAAGCAGTGCCCCTTGGTATTAACCCCCAGGTTCCACTCCAGCCGCAGATTCCACGTGCCGTGCACCACGTAGCACCGCTGGTTACTATCATGCACGCTGCAGCTGCTGACCACGGAACCAGACACATCCTGGCAGAGATGGAAGTGCATGGGGTAGCGGCCGAGGCTGCCCTGCTGGCCCATGTTGACGAGCTCGACGCCTTTGATGAGTTGCCGCTCTGCCGTCTGCATCACCATGAAATGCCCGCCGATCAGCGGGTCCTCGGGGTTCTGGTGGCCCTGAATCACGATCGCGCGCGACAGCAGCGCCACCTCCGCCGCCTCGTCCACCGTGGAGCCACCCCCCGCGGCGCCTGATGTTACTGCCTCCCCCCAGTGCATCCACGCCAGCGCGCCGCCCAGCCCCAGCACCGTCGTGTTGCCCGGACCTGTGGGTTTGGTGTGGGAATCGGGGGACGGGGCGACGCGAGGAGGAGTAAGCGAGGAAGAAGGGGGGTGTGAAGGAAGGGGGGTGGTTAGGGAAGGGGGTGGGGAGAAGGGGGGTGTGAAGGAACAAGGCATTGGTGGCATTGAGAAGGGCTGTGGTGGGAGGTGGGGAAAGTAAGTGAGGTGGAACGAGCGTGAGTGAGCCGCTCACTCGCTCTCCCGCTCACTCTCCCGCTCGCCCAACGCAACGGTTGCGATTGGCGCAATCACGATCACCCCTCCCATCCACCCACCGGCAGTCACGGACGTGATTGTGAAGTTCTCCGCCTGGTAACGGTCGAAATCCGTCGACGCGATCGCGATCACCCCGCCCACCGGCCACGCCGTCACGTCGCCCTTCACCCGAATGCTCGTCGCGCCCGCGGCGGCAGTCGCGGCGAGCGTGGTCCACGAGGGCGCGTTGCCGTACATGCCGTTGAGCTCGAGCCGCCCGCCGACGGTTGCGAACACGCGGACGCCCACGGACCGCGGCTGGGACGGCGCGGCGGGCGGCCGCGTGATGGTGAGCTCGTTGGCGGCGCCGGTAAGATTGACGGTTAGCCGGCCGCGGTACGGCGCCGCGGCCGTGCCGACGGTGACGCGGCCCTGATTTAAAATGAACGCCGCCATTACCTGCAGCGGACCCAGCGCCTCCACCCTGCGCAGCGCGCGTGCACGCGGAAGCGTGGGGTGACGAGGGGACGCGGGGAATGGGGAGGGGGGATATCGGTTGAGCAGATCCAGGGATGCCCAGCGGACGGGAAGAGGAGATAGGGTTGGTTAGAAACCAGCGCTGATGAAAGAGAACGGCGTGTGTATAGGACTGTAATCAGTCCGCCGGTCCAGTTCCTTTTCATTAGTAGCGGCGTTAATGCCAAGAACCGCATCGAGGTGGAAAGCGGGTGGGTGGAGAGCTGGGGGTCGCAGCCGCGACAGAAAGCAAGCCCCCTTTCGCACGGTGGCTGCATACGACACGCACTTGAGCCGGCCGTTAATCTCGAGGAGGTAGAGCGTGACGTTGGAGTCTAACAGCACACCCACGCCGCACGGCACGGTGGCGTATGGGCGCATGGGTACATGGGCGCATAAGCGCATGGGTGCATCAAAGCACGCACTTGAGCCAGCCGTTAATCTCGAGGAGGTAGAGCGTGACGTTGGTATCCAGAAGCACGCCCACGCCGCACGGCACGGTGGCGTTCACGCCCATGTTCATGCCCACGCCCGGTACCTTCCCCGCCGGCCACGTCGCCGGGTCGCTCCACTTCTTCCACCCTGCGGGGATTTGCATGCGGGCGGATTCCCGGGGCGGCGCGGGTAAAAGGGTTGTCGGGGGGAAGCGGGAGGTTGATGGGTGGAGAATGCTGGTTCTTACGCACGCGGGAACATTAGGGGGATTCGGAGTGGGGAATGGGCTGTACTGGGGGAGTCGGAACGGGAGGCGGATTGGAGTCTACGGGTTCGACTTAGTTGGGAGAGGGGAGCAGAGGGGATGCGCCAAAGAGTCTTGTCCGAAACTGGCGCGTCATAAATGGCGGAATGAAAGGCGGATTGAAAGGCGGAGTGGAAGGCGGATTGCAAGGAGGCTGCCGCGGTCTCACCACTGGGGGGAGGATCCACGTAGCTGCTGCTGTCGCAGAAGGGCTTGTACACGTCGGTGACGGCAGCATCAGCGCGCAGGGGCTGCTGTAGTGACAGCAGGATTAGGCACGCGCAGAGCAGCGGCAGGTGCGCCGAGGATGCAGGGCGGAGGTCGCCCCGCCGCCCACCCTTGGTGCTCCTCCGCGGCAGGAGTGCGGAGCAGCGTCGATGCGCCATGACGATCCTAAGCGGACGGTGCTGGACAATTGGTTGCGGGGCAGGAAATGAGGAATGCGCACAACTGGCGTCACGAGTTGTGAAGGAGGTATAGAATCAACTTCAAAAGCACCCGCTGACAGAAACTCGAGCTAACGCCGCAGCGCGGATCGGAGTGAGAACGCCACTATAAAGGAAAAGCTCAAACGATAGCGGATTGCCATAAGAACGTGGCGCCTACTCCGGTTGGCCGCTTAACGTCTGCTGCCATCTACCGTTCGTACAGGCGCTCGCGCGAATTCATTTTAGGGCTAGCAGCTCAAATGGCGCCCACTAACTCAAAGTTCCTGAAGTAGTAGTGACGGCGCATGGCGTACAATGGTGGTGAGGCGACGGCGGGGTGCCATTCCGTTGAGCGATGTGTGGATGGCAGGCAGGAGGACGCTGGTTTTGGAGGAATGACAAGTTTGGTTGGAGGGGTTGATGGGAGGGTGGGAGTACAGTACAAGCCAGGAGCAGCCCAACAGCGAATCAACTGCTCTGTCTCGGGCAGGGGTAGCACCTCAAAACTGAAAATCAGGCAAGCGGCAGAAGCGGGAAAGGTAGTTTCAGGGCTTTCTTCCAATGATGTCTGGCCCGCAAATGTTTTTCAACAATTTCTCGCTGACTGCCGCAATCTTTTCTTGTCCCATATTGGTCAGGGGGGCGGCAGTATTCAGGACAGGTCTGCGGAAGCGACTCGGCTGCAACTATTCGAGTCGCGACTCGAATGCTTGAGGGGTTGTTGTTGAAAGGTTCTTGACGATTTTACCCTTCACGTCCCCAATCCGTCAGAAAATGAAGGGGAACCAGCGTTTCTGGGCATGTTTCCAGCTGCAACCGCCACAATTCTGGATGTGCAAACGTATTGGCGGGAGAAATAGCTGCCCGTCAGGATCTGCCTGAAATTCAAAGGAATGTCAGCTCAAAGCGCCGTCAGCATGGCTGAAGCTAATTGGTGGATATAGATGACCACCGACCGAGTGGCGGGAGACATCTTGATGCGATACAACGCAAGACGCGGGTTTGGACACAGAAAGACAATACAAGTTTGTCCACTTACAACATGAAGAATGAAACACACAACCTATTGCTGATTTATAGCTAGCTCAAAACTAAGAATACAAGTGAACCTAAAAATAAGAGCAGCCTACAGAATGTTCCACTAAATGCATTGTTAACCGATGGCTCTGATGCCCGCACCCGGTGCTGCTCCTGTCACCCTATCCATATCATTGGCGCTAGCAAAGCCCATACCCCAGCCCATCCCATAACCATCATGGGCCTGGTTCCCGTTCCCTACCACTTCAAAACCATTCCCCTCCACATCAAATGACGTCTCCCCGTGGTCTCCTCCCAGTCCGAGCCAGTTCCCAATGCTCCTTCCTCTCCTAAGCCTTCTTTCTTTCTTCCCCCCTTCCACATTCTCCGTCTCCCCGTGCCACTCTTTGCTCTCATACTGCTCCTGTCGTACCTCATCACCCTGCACGTTCTCCTTCTCTTTCTCCTCTCTTTCGAACCGTCCAGATTTGCTCCGCACCAGGCGCATGATCCCGTTGAACAGCCCTTGCCCCCAGCTCTTGCTCCGCCCAACGCTCTTCAGAGTCGGGGGATGCTCTTCCGCCATCTCTTCCGCCTCAGCATTCTCCTCATCCCATCCTTCCCCCGCTTCTTCCGCCACAGGCGGAGGCACGCCCATGTAACCCAGCGGCGGTGAGAGCCCCGCGAAAGGAGCAGGATGCGCAAGGGGCGCGCCATAAGGCCCAACAGCGGGCATGTAGGCGCCAGTACCGGGGCCGGCGTGCAGAGGAGGCGGGACAAGGACACCCGGCCCGGCAATCATTCCAGCATGTGCACCGACGAGTCCCGCGTGGGCGCCGTGGAATGGGCCGGCCGTTTCAGGCTCGGTAATGATGTGTTGACTTATGGCGATTGATAGCTTGACGTAACCGTTTCTGACACCTGATTGGTCGACGAGCGGAATGCGGTGCTTTTCCGCTTGCGCCACGGATAGGCGGACGACTGCAGCGCCGCAGTAGAAAGAGAGGTCGCTGTCGCTAAATACTTGAATCACAATCTGCTTGGAACACACAGCAGGTGGCAGTAAAAACGCTAAAAGTATTAGTGATAAAAAGCGAAACGACGTGTGAGAGGAATGTCCCAACAACGAAACACACAGGTGCAGCTGAGAGAGCGCTTACCGCAGCGGCAGTGCGAACACAGTCGGCGCGAATCTGAAAGATGAATGTTTCGTCCCACTTGGGGTCATCGCACGGATCATCCATGCGCCTGCTCTGGTAGGTCGTCGGATCAAACCCCGGCAGTGACACCACAGCTACGGGATGGATAGCTATGTGCGGCGCTGGTCTCTTGACTCCTCGTGCCGAGTAAAGGCGAAACCGTATCTCACGAAAAGCCATAGCTGTTTGGCGACTTGATACAGCAGAAATTCCCCTTCTGGCTAATGGCCTGCGTTGGTGAAAGCAATGCAATTGGGGAAGTGTGATGGCAGCTATGTGTTTGAGGCTTTGAAGCAGCTTAGCAAAATTAGACGGGACGATCGTCAACGGACTTTCGGGTGAAACAATATGGGACACGATGAAGCAGGACCTTGATGATGCTAAACGGGTCAAGGACCTCACCTCGTTTGAAAGTCGAGAACACACAGCTCACGGGATGCGGTTTGGTCTGGTCGGACTGAAAAAAGCTCTCCATTTATTACACCCTGGGGAACGGCGGTTGCGGATGAGCCGAGAAGTAATCAGGCTGCATCTTTTGGGTGAGAGGTTTGCCAACACGAACCACATGTCCACAACTGGGCATTTCCCCTCTATGTGTACATTTTCTAAGTGTTTCAAATTCGCGTCATAGGGAACACACACAACGGGTACTCCAGCATGCGCGTAAGGAGCATCCAAGCGTTGTTATTTGCAAACTCTGCATAATAGGGTGACTTCAGAAACGTACACTTCCTTTCAGAATGATGTATTTTCGTGAAGGCGGCTCGATGAATCCGCGAAACATGAAATTGTCGTCAAGGGTGATCTTGTGGGGCGTTCGCGATTCGTGCTGGTCTTGCAACCCTGTATTGTCACAACAACACTGCAAATGAACAATCTCACCACTTAGTGCTGGATCCGATACTACACTCGTCACTTCTACAAGTTATGACAATCGAAACTCATTGTCGAGAGAAACTCAACATTCATAACCAGCACACCACAGGAAAATTGACACGTCGAGTTTCCACGCAGCAAGTCCGTTGAGGTCAACAGAGTAAAACCGGCACGCCCTCGCCTTTGGCATTTCCCACATGCTTTTCTTTCGTCCGCGATCTCATCCTTCCAGCTCATCACAGGCTGGGGGCTCAAGTTGTGCGAAACAAGATGCTCGTCAAAAGCACACAGTTTTGGAGCCTTGGCGAGAACCTGTCGCTAATGCATCTCATCACCCACCATTTCAGCAATCCAGAGTCGCGACAGCGAACAGGATAAGGTAGTAATGGGAAGGCATATGGACGCGGAGCGACGAGCCGTCACAGTTTGGACACTGCGATTCTTGCGATGGTTGGTGGGACGGAGAGGAAAGCGAGGTAGCGGGAGTGACGACGCATGGCGGGGAACGTGTCCCTCGTCGCCCCTCAACATGCACGCTCTGTACGTGCGACGACGAGGGCCGCGGCCTCTCGCACGCGCATCGGCAGGAGGAACGGCAGGGAGAACGGAAGCAGGAACCGAACGAGGAACGAGACGACGAGGAACGGAAAGAGAAAGGGAAGCAAGGGTAGGAGAAAGGGCAGGGGCAAGGGATAAAGCAAGAACAGTCGAAAGGGAAGGAACAAGGACAGGGGCAAACGGAGCAAGGACAGGGGCACGAGTAGGAGTGAGATTTCTCCAGACGCCCAGAGAAGGAACATTTTTCCAACCCGCAGTGGCGTTTCCTCCACAGGATGAAGCGTCAAGAGCAGCAGGTGCAGGAAGAGCAGCTGGAAGAGACACAAAGGCGCATCATAGACCTGTGCCAGGAACAGGAGCAAAGGAACCACGTGCTGCAAAATTCATCCAACCGGAAGCTGAAAGAATCATTTGGAAGGCAGCAACCCGGCCAGTATCATCTGCATCAGCATCAGGAGAAGTAGCTGCAGCAGCACCAGCAGCAGCACCAGCAGCAGCACCAGCAGCAGCATCGACAGCAACGGCGTCGGTTGTAGTTGTTTCGGCAGGGGCAGGGACGGGGAAAGCAGCTGCTGCAGTAGGAGTTGGCGCAGTAGATGTGGGAGACGGCGAGTCTGACTTTCGACCAGCACCAGCCTCAAGAGTTTCAGGCAAAGCACTGGTGGGAGTGGGGGGTGGGGGGCAGGCGCAGGTGTGTACGCAGTACACACTGGCGGAGGTGGTGCATGCGACGAGTGAGTGGGCGGAGAGCAGGCGCATTGGGGGAGGCAGCTTCGGGGATGTGTACAAGGGCGAGTGCCCCCATAATCCCCAGCTTATCTGGGCTGTCAAGCGCGCCAAGGTCCTCACCAACGACTTCAAACGCGAGGTGCTACGGGATATAATGTAACAGCAGCATGCAATGACGATGTCTCAGGTCAACGGCACGATGTGGTGCCAAGGTCCTTACCATGCCTGCTTCGTTTCAATATGCTGCTTTGCCATGCCTCGCATGCTGCTGCTGTTACATTAACGCTACGTCTCTCATTGCTGCAACATGGCAGGTGAAGGAGATGGCGACGAAGAACCATCCGAACCTGGTGCGGCTGGTGGGGTACTGTCTGGACTTCAGCCCTGTGACGGAGAGGATGGAGCAGATCGTCATCAACGAGTTCATGCCCAATGGCGACCTCGAGCAGTGGATCGGCCCTTGTAAGAAAACATTTCCACCTCTTCTCTTCCCCACCCCCCCCCCTGCTTTGCTGTCTCTCTCCCTCTCGTGCCATCATACCATTACCTCCTATTTGCAAGCTTTCACCACCCTTTTAACCTCTGACGTTTCATGCCTCGTTCAGCCGCAAAGCAGCACCTCACGGTCCGGCAGCGGCTGGAGATTCTCATAGGCGTGGCTCGTGGCCTGGAGTATCTTCATGGGTTTGGCATTGTGCATCGCGACATCAAGCCCGCCAACATCCTCCTCGATGAAAAACTGAAGGTACATCAGAAACTTATGATGTCAAGCGAACGGTTACGAAACCAATGTGGACTGATTATGTTTGGTGTGTTGGCTGTGGGATATGCCGTTGTTTGTGATTGTTTTGCACTTGATCGCTGACTTTGGGTTGGTGAGACGTGGGGAGGGCACATCAGTGGCGACCACTCGGGTGATGGGAACACCGGGGTATGTGGACCCGGCCTATTACAAGTCACAAAAAGCCACTCCCATGGCTGATGTGTACAGGTGTGTAAATGCTCTGAGATCATTATGGCATGTGTGTCAACTGTAATTTTCAACATTTTTGCTCCTTAAGGCAGGTTTCCTTAAATTAGTGAGGACTCAGTGTTGACTGTTTGCAAAGTGAGAGATAGAGCCTAGAGGATGTATCTACTGTGTAAGTTCCGCACACACCCTCAACTTTATTTGATCTTCCCCGCCTTATTGCATCATACCAGCTTTGGTGTGGTGATGTTAACCGTGCTCACGGCACGCAAGGCCATTATGCACTTGGAAGAAGACCACTTCAACCTCAAGACATGGGCTGCTCCGCTGGTGGCATCCAATAACATGTCATCATTTAAAGACCCTCATCTGGAAGCACCAGATAGCTTGGTATGCCAGTTGGCTCGCCTTGCTCTCAGCTGTACTGCAATACCAACGGCGTCCCGTCCCTCCATGGGTAGAGTGCTTGCCTGCCTAATGAATATCAGTAACGATTTCTTTGGACCTGAGGTGAATAGGATGGCAGCACGAATTGACGAAGAGCTTGCGAGTTCTAAGGGTGCTGATTTCAATGATGCGATTGCGCGCATCGACAAAATGAACTTGAATTCTAGCAATTAATGTCCACATTTGATTCATCCCGTAATGAGCTGTTTAGACGAGCGATTTTGATGTTTAAAGCTGTTTATTCATATTATCAAACAATGTCATCGACAGGTTGTCATAATCTTCACACTCTGTCCTCTTTATAACTTCTCAACCTTCGCGCTGGTTCTGCGCTTTCAGCCACTGTTGTCCAGCATTTCGCTTCCCTCCTGGTAACCCTATCAATTGTGTTGAACGGCAAATTCGGAACGGCTGCACCGAAATCTCAGATGCGAGACGCAGGCCGAACCTCATGATTCTGCTCGACGTGGCAGTGAGCGGGATTCCAGACCAGCACATTGAGCTGACACGTCGCGACTCACATGCGGCATTGCCGAACCAGCCAGACTCGCTCGTGAAAAGCGCGCGAGCATTGAGATCTGGCCTTGGGTAGCGTTTTCGAAGGCTCGGTAAAAGCAGGGGTGTCGGGCCTCGGAAGTTCGGGGAGATCGATGGGGTACACCGTACCGCAGGGGTTTGCGCAAGTGCGCGAAGCGGAAGATATTTCCCCCCTATCGCTAGTTTTTCCGACTCCTCCGCCCTCATTCATAACCGTCTCCTACAATCTCTCCTCGACTCGTGTTTGCTCCTTATTCGTTCCTTGTTCTCTCCCCGACATCTCTGCAGCAGACGTTTGGCAAGAAGTAGATCCCGTTGGTAAGGTGACTCCTGCTTCGTACCCGTCTGTAGTGCCGAGCAAGCACGTTTTCGTATATCGTAAAACCCTCTCCCTCGGACCGCTAACACCTAGCTGTCCAGCAGATCTACCTCCGCAACTTGCCACTCACTTCAACGCTTTCCTTGATACGATCTTGAGATCCACGTTAGAATCTCAGGAGGGATGGACGGCGGGATGCCAGCTCCTAGTGGCGGCGGGATGGGCGGCGGCGAGATGGAGCTCATGTCGAGATCTCTCCAGATCGAGCAGAAACTCTTTTATCTCGATCTTAAAGACAACCCTCGCGGCCGGTTTCTTAAGATCAGCGAGAAGACCGCAATGAATCGGTCAACGATCATCGTGCCGCTCGCGGGAGTCGTGTGGTTCGTGGATCTGTTTAACTATTACGCGAATGGCGCCAACGACGCGGAGCTCAGCAGCAAAGAACTGCAGCTCGACACCAAGGTGCGCTTAGTTGGCTCTTAGCTCGCTAAGGCGCTGCCACGCCTTTTTTTTACCCTCCGTCTTTCAATAAAGCAATCATCTTTTTGTCGTTTTCTTCAGCTCCCTTGCTGTATCGTCATTCTGTAGATCCGTTTTTGGAAACCCTTGTTCTTGTTCCAGCTAGCCCGACGCAAGTCGGGCTGGCTCTGTACTGTGTTCTGTGTCACTTAAGTTTCCTGTGTGTTTCCGTTTCACCCCATCTCCCTGTTTAGGCAACTTAATCTCCTCTGTTTCATCATCGTACCCCGTTTCCTTCGTTCTACTGCAGGTTTTCTATTTCGATGTTGGCGAGAACGCCCGGGGCCGCTTTCTGAAGGTATGTTAAATACTCTAGGCACATTTTCTAATGGACGCGAGGACGAATGAATAGTTTGTTGAGACAGGTTCCTTGTCTCCTGTATGCGCTCGTGCGTCATTAAGGGCGGCGCAGCCGAATGAAAAAAATGAAGGAAACGGATGAACGGTCTGATCGCAGCTGGTAGCGAGGCTCGTGTCGCTAGTCCTACTCTTCGTCTACAAGATTCGTGAGCGGGTTTCGCACAGAGCATCGAACCCACTTATCACTCACAAACTCTCCTTCACCCTCTGTCCTCCGCGTACTGTTGTCCTCCTGTCGTCCTCAACGCGCGGCAGGTGTCGGAGGCCAGCATGGCGCGCGCGCGCTCCACTATCATCGTGCCAGCGGGAGGCCCCGCGGCGGAGGGATGGGCGGCGTTCCGCAACGTGCTGGTGGAGATCCACGAGGCGTCCCTCGCGCTCCCCACGAACAATGCGTCCGGCGCCGTTCCCGCCACGCAGGTGAGCGGTCGGGTGGTGAAGCGGCAGTTCGTGATAGAGCAGGATTTGTTAGCTTTAGTCTTAAGCAGTGGGGGTTTAGGAGGAGATTTTGCAAGCGGAGTTTGCGAGTGTTTCTGTGCTGTTACCCGATTGAGCTTTTCATTTGTCGGGGCGTTGAGTCAACCGAGAAAGGTTATCGTTATGATGTACATTGCACATTACAATGAACCATGCACGATCCGACTTACCCGGTTATCCTTTGTTTGATGCCCTCCTCCCTTGCCTCCTTACCCTCCCCCAATTCCCGTCTCGTTCGATCCGCCGGCAGGTTGACGGTTCGTTCCATCACACGCCGGTTGCTGCCGCACCCGCGGCGGCACCAGCCGCCGGCGGCGCGGCGGAGGGAGGCGCAGGAGCGCCATCGGCGGGCACCGCGGGCGGCCCGTCGACGGGCGGCGGTAGCGGGCCGGGCGGCAACGTGTTGGCGTCGCGCGTGATCCGCGCGGAGCAGAAGCGGTTCTTCCTCGACCTGGGTTCGAACGTTCGCGGGCAGTTTCTCAAGGTTTCCGAGGTGAGCTAGCAGTTGCTGGATGTCTGTGGGTCTGTGTGTGCCATTGTGAGCGCTTGTGGGAATGCTGAGATGGAATGGAGGAGGCGGCGAGTGGGAAAGGGAGGATAGTCGGAGGGGCAAGCAGGAGGGCACGGGGGCAAGGGGGCACGAGAGTGCAGAAGGAAATGTGAGGTAGGATGTGTGATTCCGCTCTTTCCTCCTTCCAGTGTTTTCCCGGTTATGTACTTTATGCGTCTGTGCCACAACCCCCCAGCGACGTAGTAAAGACGCCTGCGGAACTCTTTATCAGACACGTACTCCCTGTCAAACCCAAGACCAGTCATTGATCACACTCCCATCAAAGTTGTTGAGTACTTATAATATCCCCTACCCCCCTCGTCCCTCTGGTTTACTGCTGCAGGTGCAAGGTACGGACCGGTCGGTGATTATAATCCCGGCGCAGGCGTTGGAGCAGATTCACGAGGCGCTGGGGCAGTTTGTGCAGGTGCTCAAGGCACAGCCGCCGCCCTCGCCGCTGGTGCGCACACTCGCCCCTCAGCCCAAGCGCACCGGCGACTCCTAGCCTGCTCGCCTGCGTTTGAGGCGCCTCAAAACTCCGAGCCTGCGTGCCTGCTTGCCAAAGTGCTTCTTCACACGGGCATCCAATGGTGACACAGCGAGTGTGCGTGTTCTGCTGGCACAGGTTGAAGCAGCAGGAAGTAGCAGCTTGTTAGTTGCTGCGTGAAATTGCGCTGGTGATGTTGGTAGGCGGTTATTAGAATGATGCTAGTATTGATAGTAGGAGAGATGAGAGGTGTGTGCTTAACTGTCGCAGCTCTCCTGTTTTATTTTCATAAATCCTCTATATGCCTTCCTGGTGCAGTGTTGGTATGATAGACATTCAACATAGAGTTACGGTACATGGCGAGTTGCACAACAGTTGAATGCTGAGGCGGTGGCAATGTCCTTGTGGATTTCTGTGCAAAACATGCATGCTGCGCACTGTGTGTTTCACATGCACCATTATAGTGTGTTTTAGCTAAGTTTCGAACCATTCCAAACCACAACTCAGTTGTAAGCTTCTCCTTCTACCTAGACATAAGCAACAGAATCGATTGAAACACTTTATTCCTCACTCTCCACCCATCCAGTTCTCCACGCCTTAATGATGGCCACAAGGCCAATAGCGGACTCGCGACCTTCTGAGGGCGTGTTCCTATGACCTCATATCAGGAAACCTCGTATCAAGAATGTACCTTTTGCCTGGTAAAATTAGCGAGAGGTTTTGGGTTTCGGGGAATTTTCAGTGTGAGCCTGATACTAGGTTGTCTTGATACGAGGATAGGAACACGCTCTGAGCCCTCTGATTAGACTGACAGATTTGCCTCAGCCACTTTCAGATGCTTAACTGCCAGCCAGCCACTCTTCCTTTTTATGAGGCTCCGTGCACCCATCAGCACCCATGATAAGCACCCATGAGCACCCATGAGCACCCCATGTAGATGTGCTCATTGCCCACACGGTCCACACCCATGGCATGTGCATGTGAGGCACGTCAGAGGTTACTGTTGAGCAGGCTCAGATGCCACGGCATGTGCACGCGGCGCAGCACCCACCACGAGGGGAACGAGCGAATCCCCACTCGCACCCGCACCTGCTGCCATTGGCCTCGCGCTTGCGCTTGCACCCTGCCCGCCCTCCCCCTTCGTGCCCTGCCCCACACTCTCCGTCTCACGTGCTCTCGCTGCTGCTGCTGCTGCTGCTGCTGCTGCTGCTGCTGCTGCTGCTGCTGCTGCTGCTGCTGCTGCTGCTGCTGCTGCTGCGTCCCTGCTTGCTGTTGAGAGGTTTCCCTCGTGGATTCTCTTGTGCTTGCCTTAGCTGCCTCATCTCCCCTCCTCGCCTCCTTCTGACCAGCACCAGCCACAGCGGCAGCAGGAGCAGCAGAAGCACTAGCACCAGCACCAGAAGCGGGAGCAGGAGAAGGAGCAGGAGAAGAAGTGAGAGCAGCAGCGTTAGGCATGAGGGGAATCAGCAGAGGGGAGGCGGCAGCGGAGTGAGCGGCAAGGCACTTCCAAAAAGGGCGAAGGGCAGCAGATGCTAGGAGAATGGCAGCCATGGCTGGAGGTGACGGGGTGAAGGGTGCACTGATGGGCGGAGGGGGTTGGTTCAGAAGGACCTGAAGGGAGTGCAGTAGGAGTGGGGGAAAGAGGACGGGATAGGATAGGAGGGGGGGGAGAAGGGAAGTGAAAGGTAGGTCGGGAGTTCTGTGGGATTAGAGAGACGGAGTAGAGGCCTGGGGCAGGCAGATGTTGCATGCAGGGATGCATGGTAGGAGAGACGAAGAGGGATGAGGAGGGACACGGAGGGACGCGGAGGGACAAGGGAAGCAAAGTGCTTATTCATTCTTTTCTTCAAGAAACATGGGATGAAAGTGCATGAGATGAGCTCACTCGAATCACAGCAGCAGTTGAGGAGGCAATGGAGAGGAGGTTGTACCTGGTGCACACAACACACAGACATGCAACAAACAGATAAACATGGCAACACCAAACGCACATGGTGTGACAGAGGATAGAGCTGCATTGTACAGCATGGCATGGCATGGCATGGCATGGCATGGCATGGCATGGCATGCCAGAGCACGGTCCAGCATGGCATTGCGTGAATAATATTGCACCACACATACGCGGCAAGAGGAGCAAGGGGCACGGGGAAAGAAGAGCAAGGGGCAACGGGCAAGGGGCAAGGGGAGGGCAAAGGATAGGTGGCAGCGCACCCTCCTTCAAGAATGAGCAGCATTCGATTGGCGGTTAGGGGCAGCAGCAGGGATGTCATGTGGGCGAATCCCGCTGGTGACACCTGGGGATGGCATGGGACGGGATGTAGTGTGGTGTGGCATAGTAGCATTTAAAGAAGTGAGAGGAGCAAGGTGGATAATACAGAGAGCAACGAGGACGAGCGGGAATGCATGTTTGTGACGTCTCAAAAACGAAGAGGGTGATTGAGGAGCGGGAATGCAGGGGAGGAGCGGAGAGCGAGTGATCAGGGGAGAAAGGGAGAGTGAGTGATGAGGGGAGGAAGGGAGAGTGAGTGATGAGGGGAGAAAGGGAGAGTGAATGATGAGGGGAGGAAGGGCAATGGAAGAGAATGGGGGGGGGAGAGTGAGGAGGGAGTGAAGAGAGGGTCGAAGTGGGGGATGGGGATGAAAAGGTGGGGTGAGGGGGAAGGGATGGGAGGAGAGATGGGAGGAGAGAGGGGTAAAGAGAGGGGCAGCACCTTGCATCCGCCAAGAGGGTCGCCTTCAGCAGCATCAAAGCCAGCTGATATGATTGTGAGATCCGGTTGAAACTCATAGGCTGCACGATGACAGCCACACCAACATGGCATGGCCCCGTGTCATGCCATGCCATGCCATCGCACGCAGCAACAGGGGCAAGCTTGGTTATTATATTATCAAGCAGAGAGCGAGAGAGAGAGAGAGAGAGAGAGAGAGAGAGAGAGAGAGAGAGAGAGAGAGAGAGAGAGAGAGAGAGAGAGAGAGAGAGAGAGAAGGCCTTAGCATCCAGCCCTCTCCCTCTTCCCTCTGCCCTCTCCCTCTGGTCCTATTTAAGGGGCCCTCCGTGCCTTCCCTACCTCATTATTTCGTTGGTGTTTCACATTCGGCGGAGAGAGAGCGAGAGAGAGAAGGCCTTAGCATCCAGCCCTCTCCCTCTTCCCTCTGCCCTCTCCCTCTGGTCCTATTTAAGGGGCCCTCCGTGCCTTCCCTACCTCATTATTTCGTTGGTGTTTCACATTCGGCGGCTCGCGCCGGCGGCCTTCGGCCGCCGCCGCTCGCAAGCGCGGCCTTCGGCCGCGCGTTAGGGGTGGCAAGACACAAGACGCGAGTTCGGCATATAAAGGGCATACAAACACACAAGGCAAGGGGGCAGGCAAGAGCAAGAGGCGCGGCATGCAATTCTACACGCGGCGGAGGCCTACATCGTGTGCGGCTCCGCCCCCTCCACCTCAAGCATCGAGCGCATGCACGCCGATACTGCAAGAAGGAGATGCGCCGACGACTGGAGCGTGTCCAAGGGGGTCCCGGCCTGAGCAGCCCCTACAAGATCCCCCACGTGGCGGGGGAAAGTACGGGCTAAGGGAGCTTCCCCGGCGGGCGCATCCGACACGGGTGCCAACGGCGACTCGAGCGATTCTGCCAAAGTCACGCAGGATCCTCGGGATCCTGGACCGAAACTGCTCGGAAGGCTCCGCGTGGCCCCATACACCGCCAGCTGCAAGTTCGCCACCACCTCGCACGCCTCCGCTAGATTCAGAATCCGGCACATGGTCAGCATGGGGTCTCTCCCCGCGCGAGTGGGGGGAGGTGCAGTCGGCGCTTCGCGCGGATACGCCGTCGGCCAGCCTGGAGTACGGCCAACAGATAAGCGCGGCGCAGAGAAGCCGGGGACCTGACGGGGGGTGCGGAACTGAGCCCTCCCCTCTCGCGCGGGCCGATATTCGCTCAGCGTCGGCGCGCGCAGAGGAGCAACCTGGCCTGGGTCCGCGGCGAAGGGGGGACCGTTGGTCACCTCTATATGGACGTGAGTCGGCCCCCCACTCGCCCGGGCCTGCCGCACCACCTCCACAAACGTGTCTGCGGCGTGATCGAGGGCAGGATCCTGCTGACGACCATTACCGCCACGACCTCCGCCATTCCGCCGGCCTCGCCGGCCGCCAGAACTTGCCAAGTGAGGACGCGGGGGGGACTGCTCGCGACGCCCCGAATCCCAGCGACGTCCAGGCGACCCCCTCCCCCTCGTCGCCGGAGATCGCCGCGGAGACCGTTGCGCGGGGGATCGCGCTCGGGGTGAGCGCTGGCCTGCCCGACCACGAGGAGACGGGTGGCGAGGAGAACGAGGACGCCCAGGGGATCGCCGATCGCCCCCACCCCGCGGATGAGCCTCGCGATGCTCAGGAGATGGGCGCCGAGGAGAGGGCTGCCGCGGAGGCTGACGCAGAGGCGAGCGCCCGCGCTCCTGCCGCGGCTGACCGTCCGGGCGGTTCGACGCAACACGCGCAGGGGCCCACGAATACTCCGGCGAGGTGGGGCGCGGGGCAGGCCGTTGGGGAAGAGTCAGCACCCGGTCGAAGCGGCGGACGGGCTCGCTTGCGGAGGGGTGCGCAGGGACACGCGGGCGAAGACCGCCAGGCGCAGGTTCCGGCAACGCGCTCTCCGCGGATCCCTCGAGCTCCTGATCCCGTCTCGCGGATGGATCCATCACCCCCGACCGCACCGCAGCCGACGCCAGCGCGCCGACAGAACGAGGACGAGGTGGACGTGGCGCCGCAGGCAGGGCGCGTGGGAGCCGCGGAAGGGAGAGGAACGCGGGGTATCCGCGTGGGACGCGGCAGCAGCCGCCGCGGACGACGAGGGAATGGGAGAGGACGAAGAGGTGGAGGAGCGCGCGGCACAAATCGGCGCCGCACCGGCGCAAGCGGTTACGCGAGAACTGCTGAAAGGCTAATACGCGAAGGCGTGGAAGGCGGCGAGGAGGAGCACAGCGAGGAGGCAGAGGACGAAGCTGAGAATGAAGAAAGCGAAGGGGGTGACCCTGTTTTTAACCCAGAAAGAGAGGGGATGTTGGAAGCAGAAGCCGAGGACGAGGAAGAATTGGAGATGCTACTTCGGGAAGCGGAGTTTCCAAACCATCAGGCCCGGGACGAACCTGCAATTCGAACCACAGGTCGAAATCGAACCGCGGGGGGAAATCGTGCAAGGGGGGGAAATCAAGCCGCGACAGAAGACGGAATTGACTCTGCAGCAGCCAATGATAATTCTGCAGGCCCCTCCCCAACCCCACCAACGCTCAAACCTGACGACCTGGCGAAAAATACTGACCTTTTTGCTCAGGTTGCAGACTGGAACCTTGACCCGCTGCGCGACAGTCGCCAACCTCCCCTCGCTCGCCACCCCCCCAAAGACCTTCGCGACTCCTTCGCGATCTGCATGTTGACTCCGTTACTCCACCTGGCGGCCAATCCTGAGTCTCCACCAGGATGGAACTTACTGACTTTTCTCCCGCGCTTACTCCTCCGCACCTCGTCAGCCCGCAAACCTGACTGGAGCGCGATGATGAATCGGCTCCAGCGATTTCGCCAAGGCCTTTGGGGGGACCTGTACGAAGAAGCTGTCCAGGCGATCTCACTGCCACCGCAACCTCGCCACTCACCTGACACAACGGGGATACTGGCACGGGCAGAAGGACTCGCAAAACGGGGTAACCTGTCAAAATCACTCCAATCCCTCCAGGCCACTCCTGTGTCTCCCGCCTCACCTGAAGTGTTGGAAGCCCTCGCGACGAGACACCCATCCGCCTGCCAACCACTTCCTGACTGGCTCCGCACCGCCACAGCGGAAGACCCACCCACTATCGAAGCTCGCGACTTCAGACGCCTCCTCGCCAAACTCCCCAACGGAGTAGGGGCCGGCCCATCTGGAACAACCTTCGAGCACATCCGCGACGCAGCCCTGGGCAACGCCGAAGTACTCACCCACCTCCTCGCCCTCACTAACACAGCTCTAGCAGGAAAACTCCCCACAGTCGCGGGGGATCTTCTAACGGCATCCCGCCTGTTAGCATTTACGAAACCACAGGGAGGGACGCGGCCGATTGCGGTGGGGGAGTGCCTCCTCCGGATAATAGCAAAAGCCGCGCTCTTCCTCACTGCGCCGGCCGCTCGTACTCACTTTGCTCCGCTTCAGTTCGGAGTCGCAGTAGCGGGAGGGATCGAAGCGGCTATCCACTCCGCTCGCACGTACCTGGAAGTGCACCCAGGGGCAGTGGCGCTGCAGATTGACCTCGCGAATGCGTTCAACGCGGTCGAAAGGAGGGCGGTGTTTGAAGGACTGAAAAACGAGGCGCTGAAAGAACTGATTCCCCTCGTCCGCCTTTCCTATGGGACTCCCTCCTCGCTCTTCCTCGACCACGACTTCGGCGCAGCCCCGCTGCAGAGCGCCAGGGGTGTTCGCCAAGGAGACCCGCTCGGCCCACTCCTGTTCGCGGCTAGCATCCACCCGTGCCTCGTGGACACGGCGGCTGCACACCCTCAGGTGGTCCTGCTGGCGTACGCCGATGATATCACGCTGCTCGGCGACGCCACGGCCTGCTCTGCGGCTTTCGACCACCTCACCTCTGCTTTAGCCGCCCTCGGCCTGGTGCACAATCCGGCTAAGTGCGCGGCGTGGTCCGCCGCAGCAATCGACGCCTCCTCAGTCCCCCCAGGCGTCACTATCTCTGAGGAGGGTTTGCAGATTCTCGGCAGCCCCGTGGGCACTGCCCGAGGCTGCGCAGATGCTGTGAGAGCGAGATTGGAAGCAGCAGCAGCGCCTCTCCCCCTGCTGGCCCAGATGGACCCCCAACTTGCCCTCCTCCTCCTCACCCGCTGTGTCAGCCGCCGAGCTTCCTTCCTGGCCAGAACCACCCCCCTAGAGGCCCTCCCTGAAGCCGAATGGTCCGCTTGGGGGGAACAACTCCTTCACACCTTCCTAGACTCGGCCCACATCATGAGGCCGAGGAGCGCCAGGGAGAGACGGAGGATTTGGCGGCAGGCGGCCCTGCCAGTGACTTTGGGAGGCCTGGGCATCACTGACCCCGCCGTTGAAGGCAGCTATGCCTACCTCGCCTCAGTGATCAGCACAGCCCACCTCTTGCACTCCCTGGAGGACTCGTTGCACCCCGCTGTCGCCGCGCTCCTCCCCCTTTTGGACCCAACCCACGGCTCCCCACACGCGCTACCTGCACGCCTCGCTGCGGCTGAGGCAGCCCTGCCCCCCGAGGCTCTCGAGGTGCTCCAGGCCGGGAAGGCTGACCCCAAGGGACTGAAGCTGCAGCAGAACCTAGCACTGGCGGTTCACACCCGCCGCTTCCTGAGAGTCATGCGCGAGGCAAGGAGGATGCGCCCCAACCCCCGCTCTGGCCATGCGCAACGGATGCAGTCGGTGCTGGGCCCAGGCGCGGGGGATTGGCTGCTGGCGATCCCGCTCACCCCCTCGCTCCGGATGGGCCCGTCCCAGCTCTCAACTGCAGCTGCCTTCCGCCTAGGCCTCCCCCTCCCAGTGCCTAGACGCTGTGACTGCCGCTACCGCACCACCTTCCCCGACGACCGCCTCCCCAACCACCTCATGCGCTGCGAGAAGGGGAAAGGGAGGACCGCAACCCACCACGCTCTGCGGGATGAGATAGCGAACATTGGGGCGGAGGCGGGGTTTACGGTTCACAAGGAGACGTATGTCTACTCACTGGTTGAAAACCTAAAGGCGGATGTCACCATCCGTCATCCCCTGACTGGTGAGGTTTGGATGTGCGACGTGACC